GTATCAAGGCCTACTGATATATCTGGATGACATCCTCTTTTGAATCTCATGTACAGTTGTTAAGAACTATTGTAGAAAACCTCACAACCTCTAAGGATGCTTGCCACAGATGCCGGTGAAACATCGGGAGAGAATGCTTCTAGAACATGGCCATACAGCCAGGAAAACCTAAAACAAGCCAGTGATTCTGGCTATGAAAGCCTTCAACAATATATTGTAGAAAAACTCTTGGCTAACAAGTTGTGTGTCAAATCATTCAAATGTCTGAAACTCAAAAATATCTCATGAGTTCAGAGTCAGTTTTGAAACATCCAGACCTCTAGCAGCCATTTGTAGTACAAGTGGACATCAGTGATGCAGTCACTGGAGGAATTTTACTCCAAAAAGATGAAAATGGAAACTTGCAACCATGTGCCTATCTGTCCAGAAAGTTTAATAAAACCGAATGTAACTGACCAATCTGGAATAAAGAGGCAGACACTATAAAATTTTCTTCAGAATTTCTTGGAAGCATTTCTTGGAAGGGGTACACATATGAAGTTTATACTGAGAGTCAAAATTTAGAAATACTCAAAATGCCCAAAACCGTTGAGGTGGCTGACATTTTTCTCTAAATTCAATTTCAAATTAAAATACTTCCCAGGCAAGAAAAACTTCTTGGCAGATAGTCTGTCAAAGCTTCCACAACACAACATACAGAAAAAGGAGCAGACACAATGTTTACTCCACAACAATTGGGGTTGGGAGTGATTACCAGGAAACTAACCCAACAAAAGGAAACACAAGCTTCAATAAAAGATTCAGAGGCTAAAGACTGAGATCAAAAAAATGACTTGGACACCTGGTTCCAGGAATACAAAGATAAATTGATCTACCAAGACAGGATGTGGTTAAAAATGGACAAGAATTATGTGCCTGACCAATTTAGGGGGAAGATATTACAACAATCCTATGGTACCAAACAACAGGGTAGGTATTTTGGCTTTGTAAAGGAAATAATAAAATACTTTTTACACCTGAAACTGGTAAGATCTATGAAATTAGGTATTTTTCCAGAGAAGGGTACATAAGAACAAAATAATGTAATGGAATGATTAATGAACCAATTGACGCTAAGAGTATTTATTTGAACAGCAACCTGACGTTAGCCAATGAATAATTGTTTGTATTCCACCTTTATCTCTTTGACTGAGATGCAAAGTGGTTCACAAAAAATAACTAGTGATCAAAATAGCACAGATATTTGTGTATATTTTTCAGGCAAAATCTGCAATAGTGCTCCAGAACAGCTACTCAGAAATTGACAACATTGGATAGTTTGAGATGAAGGATGGCAGCCATGCAACCTCTAGAGATGATTGCACTGTCAGGCCTAGCATTACTGCATATGTTAACTGCAGCCAATAAGAATTTCAGTCTATTTAGAGCCTGCATTGTGTCTATCTCTGGGTATAACTGCGTGCATACGTGTGAGGGTGAAGGGTATTTTTTTCTTAAATAAGAATTTTGCCGTCTCAAATGAAAATTTCCTTCAGGCTCCAAATTCCAAGCATTACAAGACAGCAAAGGCTGTTCATACTTGAGTTCCTGTCATAGAGACATTTAAGTACAGTGTTGGATCAGAGTATTATGGCACTCAGAATGATGGAAATTATGTCACTAGTACACTTTCAAAGGGTTGTGCGATAGGCTACAGGTTTGCTAAGCAGTTTTCTGATTTGTTAGTTGTCTCTAGTTAGACAACTATAAATTCTGTTTATTGTTGTTCATGGAGTCAGATGGAGTTTCATGGGCCTCTGAGTCCAACCCCTGTTCAATGGAGAATTTTCAGTGAAGCAGCCCCAGCTGAGAGTTGTCCAGCACCAAAATGTACTGTTCTGTAACTTTAGACCATTAATTCTGGTCTCAACCTCTGGGGCAGGAGAGAACATGCCTGCTCTCTTCTCCCTGTGACAAACATGTGATTAGGTGATCCCATAATATTTTTGAGTGTATACAATATCTATCAGTATCTGAAATCTTGATGTATTCATTTTGTTTTTTTGTTTTTCAAGCCGTTTCCAAGTTATGGTGATCCTAAAACAAACCTATCAAAGGATTTTGTGAGGCTGAATGTGCAAGTTGCCAAAAGTCATCCCGTGGATTTTCGCAGCTGAAGGAGTATTCAAACTATGTTCTCCAGAGTCAATGTCCAACAAACAAACCACTAAGACTGCTGGCTCCTTGCCTGTCCCTTTTCTTTGGATGCTATGAACAATGTAATCATGCTAAATTTCAAAATGCAGGGCCTTTGTAAATTTTTAAATTATGGCTCAGTCCTGTCACTAACGTAGTGTGTAGCTTACTTTTGTTTGTACCAATGAAGTACCATCTGCAAACCAGTGAGACTTTGATTTGGACAAACAGGTTGCACAGATCCTGACATTTAGCAAGTCTTTTAGCATTTTCACAAATGAAAGTAATCAGAAGTATAAAGGCAAATGGAGTGACATATTTAGACAATACAGTCTCTCATGTAATCTAAAGAAGTTAAAGGCTGCATCCTATATTATTTTCCTAGGATGCTCCATAATCCAAAAAGTATATATGAGTTAACATTATGTCAGGCCCGTAGCCAGGATTTTGATTCAGGGGGAGCTGAGTTTGATTCGGGGGGGGGGGGGGGGGGGGGGGGGGGGGGGGGGGGGGGGGGCTGAGTCTGAGTGAAAGAGGGTCTACCCTGGCAAACCTTATGTATCGTTATCCCAATACCCCCATGCATATGGGATATATTGAGCATGGTGATCAGATAATGATATGAACAAACATAACAATTTAAATAATGTACCAGTAAGGCCTTCTCGCGGACCACCATGATAATTTCGGGGGGGGGGAGCCCCTCAAGCCCCCCCCCCCAGCTACATGCCTGTATTATGTGAAGTATTGAGCCTTATTAAACCATGTTAATTAGATATTCACTGAATGTAACAATAATACACATATACATTTTAACTCCAATTTGCTCAACAGGAGCTCCTGTCATTCACCTTGCTCCTAAAACCTGTAAAGCACTCCCTGTGTTTAGCATTTCAAGGGACTATGGATAGGTCCACAAGTTCTAATTTGTATATGCATGTGTATTTGGACAACTGACTCCTGGCCAGACATGTAAAATGAAAACATAACAAGCATTGATTTCATAACAGAAGGTTTAAACATAAAGCTTGTAAGGTGTCTCTACACTAATTTCAATGTAACAAAACTTGTTTTAATATTAGTTTAAGAACTTTTCCCAAATTTCCCCAACAGGCATTTTATCACCAGCCCCTCTTCCACAGCTCCTAACTAATCTGCCACTTTTCCTATTATTCTCCATTGGTATTTTATATCTATTCCTCCTTTCTGATTTTATAATTATCTATACTTGCCACCTCTCCTATCTATCCTGATCACATTTTTCCCTGCCTCCTTAATCTCTTATCCTGTTCCCTTATTTTATTGTTAAAAACAGTCAAACCTCTCTTCTCATATTCTTTCCCCCTCAGCTCCAATCACGGCATCCTGAGAACTCCAACTGTTTGACTCTCCTAAGGTTAATTACTAATATCTTACTCTTCTTCAAACTCAGAGACTTTACTGAATAATGTGGATAGTATTTTGTTGACATTTGAAGTTAAACAGAAATCCAAACCCAAAGGATTTGCATTCTTCAGAGACTCGTTGTCTTGCACATATGATTCAATCCTATGGAACATACCATGCACATTTCCTTAAAAATGAAAGAAATCACACAACATTGTTCAGACTAAAGAACAAGTATCAACAAGTATCAAATTTCCTCTCAGTACAGTTAACATTTAAAAACTATTATGGTGATGAAGAAAACTATTGACTCAAACTAGTAATAAAGTTATTGTTAGAGAATATGCAAACTTTGAGAGGATAATTATCCAAAGAGAGACTAACGTAGAAAAGAATATTTATAAACTATTATTAGAAGACGAGCAGACTCAACACCATCTCAGGGAACTATGGAACTAGACTTGGGAAGAACTTTAAATATTCAGGAATGGAAAAGAATATGGAGTATGAACACTTTAAAAATATGTCTATAAGAATGAAAGAAAATTACTATAAATAATGTGGAGATGGTATTTAACACTAGTTAGATTAAATCAGATAGATGAGAAATATTCAAATCAATGCTGGAGAGGATGCCAAGAACCAGGCTCATGTATCCATATGTTGTGGTCTTGTAAATGTATTAAAAATTCTGGGAATTAGTATTTAAGGAAATAAGAACAATAATAAAAATAGAGATAAAGAGTACACCAGAAACAACATTATTATCACTATATAAGAAGATTATATCCTCACAAGAAGTGAAGGAATTAACCTCCAATTTATTAAAAGCAGCAAAACTGATAGTTGCAAAAAAATTGGAAAGATAAAAGCAAAATCCAGTTAGAAGAATGTTGTTAATAGCTATGTCCCAAATTTCTCTGTACCAAACTGACTTGTGACATTAAGGTTAAAAAAGGAATATGAAAGCAAACAAACTTCTGGAAAATATAGGGGAAATTTATAGAATTTGTATTTACTGAAGGACAGCGGTGTACTTTCTCAGTGTAGATACAGTTTCAATATGTTTTCTTGCATATATTTTTTGTTTGTTACTATGTTTGGACTTCTTTTTTTAATAGAAATGTGTGTGTGTATAATTATTGTTATAGCTAAATGACTGGAAATTCACTTCAAGTCTGCTTAATAAATGCTTTTATATAATGTTTAATTAGATATCATCTGATAACATGTAAGCATACTGTCAAACCCATAACCACACTAGATATAACTTGTTATGTGAAACATTTTTGTTATCTTATTCACTACAATAGCGATAATCATAAATATTTGTATTTTTCTGAAACCAACTTCTTGTTTTTCCCATTTGTCCCATATTAGCTTAGATACTACTTTAATATTTTCCTTCTATATAACTGGCTTTTCTACAGAATTCTTACCTGAAGATAAATTATTCTCCTCTGTACCAGATCTGTCAAATCTTTGGCTTCCTTTTCTCGCCAATCACCAGCTCCATCTGTTTGACTGAGGTAGTACAGATCTGTCATTATTGACCTGTTTGTATAAACAATAGTAACATAAAAACTTTTGTGGCTAACTTAAATAATCAAAAGAAACAATGACAAAATGAAAACTAAATCTTCCAAAACATACATTAAAATAAAAATAATATTTTTCTTCTTTCGTACCAGAGCTAGCCACCTCTGTGTGGGAACTCCACCCAAACACAACACATTCACCAATCCTTAACCCATATACAAGTTGTAATCTTCCAATAATTAAGGCATGGGAAGAGGAGACTCTAGTCTACTGTTTCCCCATCCCCGCTTTATACAAACACTCACATTTGTGCAGGATTGTTTTTTTCTCCCCTAACAAAAGCAGTATCCTTAAGGAAGTAAATCCCTTAGAATAGACAGGCTGCAATATTAACCTTTACTAAAGTGAGTCACTGCCAACAAATACTGAGAAAATGTAAAAAATCTTAAAATAGGTTTCCTAGCCTACTTTCTGTTCAAGGTATCTGAATCACTTTCAGTTCACTGACACCAGACAGAACTGTGGGCTCGATTCTGATCTGATGATAAATAGTAAGAAGAGGAATCGGCAAAAGGTTTTCAATAATGCCATATTTTATTTGCATTCTCAGCATAATTTGATCAGGAATTTTAATAAATAAATAAATATTCAATTTAAGAAGATATATGTTCTTAGCAAACCTTGTGGTCACTTCAGTGATCGATTGATTTAAGTTAATTCCTTCTTGTTGAATGAGAAATGAACCAGCTTCTGCACACTAAGGCGATCAAGTCTAACCAGTTCTAGACTTGACAAATGAAATGAGATGGGCCTCTGTCATTAGGCAAATCGGTTTTGGAGTTCTTGTTAGCATCATGCCCAAACATTAACAGGTGTCCACTGAAAAAGCTAGTTTGTTTGAGTGAATTTGTTTAATCACGTTATACAACTATGTGTGGTACTGTCATGGACACTCCTTTTTTGGCTGCTGGCAAAGAATGTCTCTCCAGCGGCTGAGCAGGGATTTTTTATATGCTCTATTCCTTAAGATGTATGGTCCATCAAGGAATATCAGTTTGGGGGGGGGGGGGGGGGGGGGGAGATCAGAAGGATTTATACACCAGTGACAACAACATAGGCTCAATAGGGATGGCTTGGACTGCTTGCTCAAGTAGAAGTAGTTTAATCCTGGCAGCTCTATTCCTACATGCTTGTGTGGTTAAACAACATTTGAGGATTATGATCCCCGACAAGGCAAAGGAGGCACTTATTCTAGTCATCAGAGAGGGCTACAAAGACATAGTTCTTGAAGAGTGTCCATGAGCCAAAGGCCTTTGAGAGAGAAAAAACAAGCAGGAAAGAAAGAAAAAGAAAGCTGCATCTAGACATTCTTCATATATTTGCTATTAAGGAGATGATAAAGGACTGTGAAAATGGCACCAGCAATTGGCACCTATAGAGAGGGAGCAGGTTCCACAAGCTGCCCTTTGCAGTGACAGATCCAGTGTGTGATAAACCAATATCACAATAAAGAACACAGAGAAATCAGACCTCACAACCTCTGAGGATGCCTGCCATAGATGCAGATGAAACGTCAGGAGAGAATGCTTCTAAACATGGTCAAGTAGCCCAAAAAACCTACAACAACCCAGAAATTATATTGTTTAACTGGCTTTGCTTCTCTTCAATTCTTCCATTCCATATTTTATTAGATTTTTTGCATTGAGAGAATCAATAATGAAAGGAAATTATAAATAAAACAGTAATAACAACAGTGTACATGCATATTCCTTCATTGAAATAGTATTTTACAGGCAGAAAAAGCTATTTCCTACATAGAAAACACTGCTTTCTGTGCAAAACAACCATGTGGAAATTTTGTATACAAGACGTCCTAAACTGCAAGGATCCTCACCAGTCCTATATTCAGCTTGTCATATTTTCTCAAAACTTGAAAAACAGATTTTTAAAAGCAATTTCACGTATTGTTTCCATGCCTACATGGGAACATTTTTGGTGAAAACATAGAAATCATTTTTCAGATATATCTGTTCTGTCATCTACAAGAGCAATGTTAAATGTCTGAAATACACTTTCTCCAATATTAAAAAAAAATAGCTTAACAATGAATGGCATATCACCTCACATAAACTATGGCTAGTTTTACACAGACAAATAATGTTGTTCAACAAGGACACCCTGAACTGCCTTGGTGGCGAGAGAGTTTTTTTACTACCCAGTTGTGTCAAAGCTAATTCTGCACTGCTAGATAGGGACCAGTTGCTGTAAGCTATAATGGAGACAGGATAACATACCTGCTTTTCGGCAACCTCCCTTCCTGATTCTGTACCATTATGACCGGCATTCCTTTGGTGGTTACATGCCATGGAACCAAAAAAGAGGGCCTACCGAGGAGCAGGTATGTGGCCCTATTGCTGTTGTAGCTGGTAACAACAGAGAGTTAGAGGGCAGGAGGTCTGTTGGGACTAATACTAAACACCATACTATACCATATTATAAAATCTTTAGTGATTTAATATTAATATTGAAATGCAATAATTAAAGGCAATAACTACAAACTTAACACAACACAGTTTTACAGTATTATAACATTTTTATGTAAAGTATACATTTCTTCAATTTTTCTGGCTGGTTGCTTGAGAGTTCCAGTTGCTTGAGCTCTGTTTGACTGGGAGTCTAATGTATTATTAATAATTAATGGTTTTATAAGTTATAGTTTACAAAAAAAAATCTAAATGAAAATCATGGTAAAAATGTGATGATCCCTTCTTTATTAAAAATCGTAAAAATATGTATTTACCAGTTGTTCATCCAGCAAGAACACACAGGTTATGAAGGACATGTGAAGTGACTTTAAATGTGCTTATTATGAAAGAAAAACTTAATTATCAAAATATTCATTTTTTTTGGTTTATGAGTCTTAATCGTAAGTTTTTGGAATGGAAGAGTTAGCACATCTTTCTTTTTAGTTTATTTAGTTTAATTTGATATGTTTGTTCTTCTTATTTGCCTATCATTTAATTAAATCGGTTTAGACATGTACTTTGGGAAAATAACAGAGCTTATATAAAGCTATGATGAAACTTGACCCTCTTTCATTATTGAATAAAGAACTGTTTTCTTAGCAAGTAAAGGAAAGTACATTTGTCTTCTGTGATCTTCAGATATGCTTCAGGCCCATGGGGTGTAGCCATCAGCTATATCTCCTGATGCCATTCTGGCACTGCAAGTGGGACATATTTATTATTTATTTCATACACTTGTACCCTGCCCTTCTCACCCCCAAGGGGGGACTCAGAGCGGCCTTATAGCAAGCACCATTCGGTGTCATCACAATAATAAAAGCCGACAAATTCATTAAAATAACATTAAATAAACAGTTGCTAAAAACACGCCAGTTAAAACCAAAGTCCGGATTAGTTCATATTTTTCTTCTGTTTCCCTACATGACGCCATAGGTCTTGGTGAAGTTTGGAAATATCTGTGGGGATTTTCCAGCCTGCTGCAGAGAATTTTGAGTACACGGGGAAGATGATGTAGATAGGGGAGCTCTCTCACTATTCTACTGATAGACGCAATTCCATAAGTAGGTGCACCTCAATGGATCTTGGTAAGAGAGACAGGAAGTTGGCTCAAGAGGACACTGTTTGATGTCCTTCCTTCATCATCATGATGCAGAAAAAGAATTATAGTTTGGCTAAAGCATACAGCTGCCATGTTCAGTCCCTAGTACTTTCAGTTTAAATCAGTGGTTCTTAACCTGTGGGGTGTGGATCACCAGTGGACCGTGAGGATGAAAATCTGGTCTGCAAGCTTCCTTCCTTTGTCTTTCTTTTCTTTTATTTTATTTCTGCTCTTTTCACACCGCCTGCCATTCCTTCTCTGTCGCTGACCATGGTATATGTTCTGTATCAGAAACTAGAGCTGATATGGGTATCCAATGCAATTTTCTGAATCAGCACCCCAAACCAAATCTAAAGTTGACCAAAAACTGATTCGTAACACTTTTGGTACTAATGTTGGAGAGTGGTCCCTGGTTAAAGTGGTTCCTGATCAAGTAGTCTCTGATCAAAATAGACCCTGGTCAAGTGGTCCCTGCTCAAAAAAAGGTTGTGAACCACTGGTTTAAATAGTCAAGCAGCAAGTGATAATAATGATTTCTGCATGACACTCTGGACAACTGCTGTCAAAACAATACCTGGCTAAATAGATAAATATTTTGAGTGAACAGGCAGCTGACTTCACTGTGTCCTAGGTCTAGTTGAGTCCATGGGGTGATGGACTGCACCTTTCATTTGCAAAATATAGGACAAGTTTATAGGACAAGTTTTAACATCTAAATATTTGTATCACATTTAAAGTTCCAACTGTATATATTTTTAATTTACACTGAAATGAAATACATAATTTTATCCTTTCCATAAAATCACTTGGATTCTGTGTTTAATATCTAATATTATGGTCATCAATATTAGTAGCAAGAATTTCCATCAGCCCAGAAATTTAACCTGCCTCTGAAGCCAATAACATCCACAAAACAGCTTGTAAAATACTATTTTGCCAATGGTACCTGAGATATCAGTTTTACAGAAATGAACAGGGATATAAATAATTCACATGTTATTAACTTTGATGTCAGGTCTAGATATGAGGCAAATTTAATATGTTCCAGTTGTCAAAGTAAGGAAATATACAGTTATTGAACATTCTGGCAAACAAATTAATCTAGTTAGAGCCAAGATTGGCAAAGAATAAATCAACTTCAGTGCCATAAGACTCTTTTGGCTATTATAGCTTCAGAAATCTTCATACTGCGATGAAATATACTCCTAGAGAAGCTACCCTCCTTAGCTTGGTACATATAAAGTAATTTATTTAGTTTAGGATAGCGACCGGACTATATAGTTTCATTTTCCTGAAGTTTTAAAGACAATGTATCCACAATTTAAAGGCATGTATATTCCGTATCTATAAGTACAGCTACAGATTTTATAAACATAACAAGCTAGAGAGAG